CCGGGCTACCTTACTGCGCCTGCGCTCTCCCTACGCACGCCCGGCGCTCCCCTGCGCACACACGGCGCACGCGCACACCCTCTGCCCGCGAGTCGCGCCCCGTCGCTAGGCAACGAGCTAGAGGGCTTCGGGTGCTAAGGGGGCGTGACGCAAACAGGAAAGGAAGCGCCGGCGGGTGAGTGGAGCGCGCGGGGAATGGGATGGTGGTAGGGGTGCTGGGGCGGGGAGGAATACGTGCAGCAGAGAAGAGGGGCTGGAGGGTGAGTGAAACGATAATGCACGGCCTAGAGGAGGGGACGCTAGGGTAGAGCAGAGACTTGCAACTTAGAGGCTGTGAGGATAGGGCTGGAATGAAGAGAGGAATGAGTGGGGCAGGTAGGCCCAGACGCACTGACAGAGATAAAGGGGCAGCTGGCTCACTGGGAGGAGCCTCAACGAGCTACCTGTCTATGAAAGGCGGGGTGGAGGGATGGCAGGGGGGACCTTCCCCCGCCCCTGCCCCCAAGACACCCTCGCTGGAGGAGACAATCACTGCACGCTGTATTTTCAAACTTCCCACCTTTGCACCTGTCAGTGCAGGAGGTGGAAGGGAGCATAAGCTCTTGCTTGGGCCCACAAGCATCAGACCCCTAGCTGATTAAGTCAAATATTTACTGAGCACCTACCGAGTGCCTAGCATGTGAATAGAGTGTGAACAAAGACAATCTCCATGCTTATTGCCCTGCTTACTGAGTGCAGGGCCATGAACAGGGAAGACCAGTGTTAGAAGACCTTCCCAGGAGCTCTGGGAAAATAACCCTCTCCCCCTTGGTGAGTGTGCCCTGAGTCAGTATGAAGTGAGCTGTAAAAACCATTCCTTCACCCTCTCCTCTCTAAGCCTCACATTGTGGTTCTGGTATTGTGGTTCGCCTGTCTTTGCAGCACTTCTTGGTACTGTCAGGTTAGCAATATTTAATTGAGACCATCGTTGAAAACGTATAATTTGTATTAGATGCTTTCTTCAGAAAGGGTTTGCCACACACATGCACACAGGGTGGCAGCCACCCAAGGACTGGGAGTGGAGAGACTTCCTGGGATTCTACCCTCTGGGAAGGGCAGTTCTACAGTGATTACAGGCAAAGTAGATTTGTATCTGTGAGTCACCTGAGGATATTGTTAAAATATAGACTGAATCTGTAGGCCTGGGTGGGACCTGAAATGGTGGGACCTGAAAATCTACATTTCAACAAGCCTCCCGGGATACAGTGCTGCTGATCATGCACCACTCTTGAGTAGACTGGGTGTAGAAGATAATTTATTCAGGTGTATTGGTTCAGGTGGGCCACAAATTGGCAGAAGGAGACACTCCATTCCCACCCTCCACCACTACCCCTGTGGAGGAGGAAGAAGCTTTACCCTCAAGTTTCTTTCTGCTGGTCTAATAAATAATTAGACATGAGACAGATAAACAGAAAATGACCAAATTTAATTACGTACATATGTATGGGAACCCTGCACACTTGAGAGTCAGAGACCCCACATACATGAGAGATTCAAAGACAGAAAGGGAAAATGAGGTATATATGACATCAGGAGCTAAGGATCACCTTGGGACTTAAGAGAAGTAGGGCACTGCAGGACACTAGGAAGAGCAGATGTTCAGTAATTAAAGTTTTCTCTGCCCTGTGCCTAGGTCAAAAAATGTTATCTCTGATAATCTCTTATCATGGGCAAAGCCTCTAATTCAAATTCTTCTAGGTAGTTGTGGGTGTTCACAGTAGGAGAATGGCACCAGGTGTTAAACTGTTGAGGTCAGAACCTCATTTCAGCAACCTTGATACTTGAGTTCTGTCTAGGAAAGAATTCAGAGCCAAGACTCAAACAATAAGAGAATGTTTATTTAGAAATTCACAGAGATAGAATAAATGAGTGCTGGAAGAAGTGGATTCAGGAAACAAGTTCCAGAGGCTTGGGAGTGACGAAGGTAATGGTAACAGCCATGAGGAGGAGCAGAGGGGAAGCAGAGGGGGAAAGGCATGGGTGGCTTCCTGGAGGTATGCTGGGTCCTCCCTCCTAAAAGCTTTTAAAGGTGGACATTTTAGGGGAGATCCCAGGGGAGGATATAAATACAATATTCATCAGCTTTTCAGATATATCCTTTCAGGGTCGTGATCTCCACTGATTGGTCAGTGCCAGGGCAGGGGTTAATATTTATTACAGCTGGTCCTGAGGTCAGCCAGGGCATTGCTTGTCTAGTTTTGCTGCTTTTCTGGGCCTAGAGCTAAAATACCACCGAGGCCTAGTTGTTATCTCTAGGGAGGAAAGGTCAAGGGTTCTAAACCGAATGACCAGCAAGATGAAAAGTCAGGGGATCCAAACTGCATGATCATCCATATACTAAGGGAGGTGAGGTCACCCTAGGGATGTGGTCCCACCCTACAGTTGTCCCTTGCAAGGCACCTGGGGCATTCCACCCCTGTGACCTTCTCTACTGGGCCCTCATCCTTGCTCAGCTCGCATCTGTCTAACTGCCTACCATAGGAGAAGGGTGCAGAAGTTTCTCTTGAGCCCAAAGGGGTCTTGGTTGCCTTAAGCTTAAAACAGTCCTCATATCACAGAGGCACATCTTGGGGTGACTCATTCTGAATACCCCAAACTTAGTGGCTTCAAACACACACTTCTTCTTTTATAGTTTTAAAGTCAGAAATCCAAAATGAGTCTTACAGCCCGGTCAATGTGGTTCAGTGGTTGAGCATCATCCCATGCACCAAGAAGTTACCAGTTTGATTCCTGGTCAGGGCACATGCCCAGGTTCAGTCTCACAGGGCTAAAAACAAAGTGTTGGCCAGGCTGGTTCATCTGGAGGCTGTAGAGGAGAATCCATTTCCTTGCCTTTGCCTGCTTCTAAGCTGCCCACATTCCTTGGCTCATGGTCCTGAATCCACATCACCTTTCTCCCTCTACTTCCATCATCACATTTCTTCTGCCTGACCTTACTGTGCCCCTCCTATGATTCTATTGTGCCTACCTGGATAGTCCAGATAATCTCCCTAATCAAAATTCTTAATTTAATCATATCTGCAAAGTCCTTGCCATATAAAGTAACGTATTTCATAGGTTCCAAATGTCAGGACTTGGACACTTTTAGGAGCCATTATTCAGCCCTACCACACTGTATATTTCCTAAGAACAAGGACACTTTCTTACTCATATTTCAATTACCAAAACCAGGAAATTTGACCCTGATGCAAATTCTATCATATAATCTACAATTCACATTCAGTTTATCCAATTTTTCTAACAATGTCCTTTATAGAAATTTTTTTCTAGTCCAGATCCAATCCAGGATCATGTATGGCACATAGCAGTTATGTCCAGTTAGGCTCCTTTGGTCTGGAATGGTTCATCTCTATTTTGTTTTCATGACTTGGCATTTTTAAGTGTTCAACTCAGTTGTAGACTCTCTCAATTTGACTTTGGTGTTTCCTCAATCAGATTCAAGTTTTGCATTGAGGGAAGAAATCCACAGAAATGTATTATGTCCCACTAAGAAGTGTATTGCGTTAGAAGTCAGGCGATGTCACTGTCCCTTATTGGTGATGTTTACTTTGATCACTTGGTTAAAGTTGTATTGGCCAGGTTTTATCACTGTAAAGTTTCTGTATTTCCCTTTGGACTTAATCTATAATTAGTAGGGAGAAACTTTGAGACTATATAAATATCCTATTCTTTTTTTTAATTAGTGATTTTTTTATTAATTAACTTATTTTTGTTACAGATGTTTCTCCCTTCTCTTGATCCACCCCCCCCCCACACACACACACAGCATTGTTGTCTATGTCCATTGGTTATGCATATATGCATATAAGTTCTTTGGTTTATCCTATTCTTTGTCAAATATTCACAGAGTTTTATTATTCATTGATGATTCTGGCTTGATTCAGTTATACTATGATGGTTATAAAATGGTGATTTTTAAACTTTTTTAAAAATATGTTTTTATTGATATTTTAGAGAGAGAGAGAGAGAGATAAACATTGATGTGAGAGAGATACATCAACGGGCTGCCTCCTGCACACCCCCTACTGGGGATCGGGCGCAATCCTGGCATTTGCCCTGACCGGGAATTGAACCTGGAGCTCAGTCCACGGGATGATGCTCAGTCCCCTGAGCCTCCATCAGCTGGGCTAAAATGGTGATTTTCTAAAAGCTCCATTATTCTTTTCACATTTATTAGTTGGCATTTACTTGTTATCTCTCCTATTCACTTTATTTATTTTTGTATGGACTCATGGATTCTTATTTACTCAATTAGTTATAATCCATTATAGTCATTATGTATTTTGATGATTATATTGCCTCAGATTTGGCCAGTAGCAGCCCCTTCAAGCTGGCTCCTGTGTTCCCAACCATTTTATTTTTCAACATTTTCTTTCTGGGACAACAAAATATTCCAGGCTTATGAGACTTTTCCCGCCCCAACCTTGGAATAAGCCATCTCTCCAAGGAGCCCTGATTCCTTTTAAGTGGTGACAGCTATTTAAAGACAAGTTCTGTATGCTCAGTGTGCTCATTGCTACTGAGGTGCTTTTGCTTCTAGGACTTTGAAGTTGGAAGAAACATGAAATATATATTTTTTTTTCTATATTCATATCTATGTATCTATTTATCTTTCCTACCTTAAACTGAAAAAACAGTCTCCAAAAAATTTTAAGACTGGATCTAAGCCTTTATTAGTCACTTTATTATTAACTCTTTTGGAGTTAAAATACGTAAGCTTTAGGAATATGGAGTTGGTCAGGAATAGGCCAGGTGCTAGGCCATTTCATATCACAATTTTCCACTGTCATAGCTAATATTTATTAAACACTGCCAGGCTTAGTGCTTTATATGTATTTATTATCGCCTTTAATCCTCACAGTTATGAGGCACAAACCTTTGTCATTCTGTTCTGCAGATGAGAAAACCAAGGCTCACAGAGACTGGTGACTTGCTGAAAACCATGCAGTTAATAAATAGCAGAAGCAGGACTGGAACTTGGTCTGTCTGACCCGGAGTCTGCATTCATACTGCTGCACTCCACTGCCACTCCTAACTGTGGTCTAAGTCAGGCTATCTGCCTCTGGCTCTTTAAATCTGATTAATAGTGAATCCAGAGGTATCAACTCAACCTAAAGTAGTTTCTTGCTTAAAAAATAGAGTGGAGCCCTGGCCGGTTTGGTTCAGCGGTTAGAGCGTAGGCCTGCGGTCCAGAGAGACCCGGGTTCGGTTCCCGCTAAGGGCATGTACCTTGGCTGCAGTTTATCCCCGGCCCTGGTAGGTTGTGCAGGTGGCAGCCACTCTATGTGTCCCTTTCACATCAATGTTTCTCTCTCTCTCTCTTCCTCTTTTTCCCTCCCACTCTATCTGAACAAAAAATGGAAAAAAATGTCCTCGGGTGAGGATAAAAAAAAAAAAAATAGAGTGTAATACTGTGTTAAGGACTGGCAGAGCCCTGACCAGCAGTAGCTACAATGCTGGGCATTTTCCCTTCCTCTCCTCCCCAGGGCTTCTCAATGGTCACTTGTGAAATAAATAAGCCTGTCTTATCTATGTCACAGGTGACTGTTGCTTCCAGCCTCACAATAGCACAGCTTGCTGGGTGCGTAGAGCACCTGTGGGGACCTATGCTGGCCTTGTTATTTCTTCTCCACTCAAGGGTAGAAATATGTGGGTAAGTAGAGAGGCCTTAGCCACTCTTAACCACCAATCTATCAAGCTCTTGTCATGCCTGAACATCCCAGGTCCTAGTCTGACCTAGAATAGCTATTGTCTGACTGAGGAGAGCTTTAACTTAAAGTCCCCTTGAATGTAACAACTTATTGGCGTGTGTTTATTTACTGATTCTTTGGGGAAGGGTGGATCCAGAAAAATCTCATATGTATCCTGAAATTAATCCTAATTGGTTAGAATGTGTCTATTTTTAAAATCAAATTGGAGTTGTAAAATAATGTGACTCTTTGATGTGTCCCAAGCCCACAGGATGGAAACTGACTATCTGAAGAGGTGCTATGGAAACTGCCTTTCCCAGGCACTGGCAGAGGTGGCGAAGATTCGGCCCAGTGACCCCATAGAGTACCTGGCTCACTGGCTTTATCATTACAAGAAAATCACTAAAGCCGAAGAGGTTTGTATGTGCACTGAGACAGCTTGAGGAGGGCTTTCCAGCTTTCCCAGAGTATTTTAAAATCCAAGACAGAGTTCTGGAGCTGGCGTGGGGAGGTTTTGGTTTATTCAGCTTGTGAGAGGGGCTTTGGCCCAGATATCCTAGAAGCACAGGAAGTCTAGGGGCTGAAGGAGGACTCCAGCTCACAGGAGTGATAGAGTTGGTGGTGTGGAGCTTCTAGCAGGCTGAAGCACATTCCAGAAGTAGACACAGGAGGCCCGAAGGGCCTGAAGGAAATTCCAGGGAGGAGGGTCCCTTTGCACCTGCTTGCCTGGGGCTGATCTAACTCAGTCACATTGCCCCAGGATAGGCAGGAGGAGATCCAGCTGAAGGAGGAATATGATGATATCCTCAAGGAAACCGGAATGACAAGTACTGAAGCAAGCAGAGGATCAGATTCACCAGGAGTATGAAAAGTGTCCCAGGTACAGAGGAGGAGCTCAGCACTGGGCTTGAGCACTCAGTGACGGATACTAGGAAATACACAGTCAGCCCGGTCACAGTGCAAAGCTTGTTGAGGCCCCCATTTAGCCTACTTTTCTCTCCTTGGGTTTGTATGTTGATATGTAAGCCAATCTTATTGACTATCCTTGTCTATAAGGTCATTGTCAATGAAAAAAGAAAATGTTCAAAGGCAATTCCATTTTAGATGTCAGGAAATACCTTAGATATTACTGGTTTTTAAAAATCTGATTTTTAAAAAATCTAATATGACCCTGGCCGGTTTGGCTCAGCGGTTAGAGCATCGGCCCGCGGTCCAGAGAGACCCGGGTTCGGTTCCTGCTAAGGGTACGTACTTCGGTTGCAGTTTGTCCCTGGCCCTGGTTGGTCGTGTGGGTGGCAGCCACTCGGTGTGTCCCTTTCACATCGATGTTTCTCTCTCTCTCTCTTCCTCTCTCTCCCTCCCACTCTATCTGAACAAAAAATGGAAAAATGTCCTCGGGTGAGGATTAAAAAAAAAAAATTTTTTTTTTTTAAAAATCTAATATGCCACTTGGAACAAATATATTTTTATACAAGATTCTTTGAGCCCTTTTCAAAAATTAGTCAATACTTTTCAGAAACCAAATATGGTTATCATTATATACTTTAGGTTTAATATTTTATTCTATACTATTTACTTAAATATCTTATTTATTATATGCTATTCATTTATGTATCGAGCCGCAGATACCACCTCTCTGATACTGTGATAGTGGGCATCAATTAATAACTTGGAATAGTTGGAAATAACTGAGTATTCATTCTCTGACAAACATATCTTTCATCTCCATCATTTTTGCCACAGTCTTTTGAAAATTGTGTCATTCTGTGTTTTCTACAAAGTACATAATGCCCAGATAGGAAATTGACTTATTGGGCTTGATACCTGACATCTTTATAACTATCACTATATCCTGTGCAATAAAACGTTTAATGCAGTCTCATACAATTAACTAGCTTTTGCCAATTTCCAAAGTCCACTTTGATGAAAACATGAAAGTATTGAGCTTATTTACGTTTATATGAATATGCTCAGCTTTCCTCATAAACAATTAATAGATTTTTTAAAAGTCTGGATGTTTCATAAATGAATCAAAACAAAGATGGTATTGTTAGACAATAGTCTCAGTGAGCCCTCCCACAAGAACAGTCTTAGAATAGTTGTTGGGAGAAGGTAGAGGTGAAATCATTAAGCAAAAGTTTGCATCACCTTGCTGCTCACTCAAATCCTTTTCTAACTATAAGTTTCACTGTTAAAATAAAGACTTCCAAAACCCCACCCTGGTTTTATAGTGCCTATATTAAAGAAAACTTTGTTCACATCAGTATTTTGAATTGTCCCTTTGGGTTGCATTCAAGGAGTTTTATGCCCTGTAGCAATATTCCTTAGAAGGATTTAGATGAGTCCTAGTGCGAGACAAAGGAAATTGTAAGGGAAGATGGGAAATGAGAGCCAGCATGATGCCTACCCTATGTGCAAGACCTCAGTTTTAGGAAAGAGCAAGTTGTAGTTATGGAAATTGATTCCCTTAGTTAGAAGGAAATAGAGAATCCAACAGTGATCTGTTAGTATATGTATATTTTTTTAATCCTCACCCGAGGACATTTTTCCATATTTTGTTCAGATAGAGTGGGAGGGAGAGAGAAAGAGAGAAACATCGACGTGAAAGGGACACATCGAGTGGTTGCTACCTGCACGACCCAACCAGGGCCAGGGACAAACTGCAACCAAGGTATGTGCCCTCAGCGAGAACCAAACCCCAGTCTCTCTGGACCACAGGCTGACGCTCTAACCACTGAGCCAAACCGGCCAGGGCCCAACAGTGATCTGAAACAGAGCTGAATTTATTGCTTACCTGGCCAGGAAGAGCCAGGCCATTCAGTGCTAGTATAAATTGAAAGAAGTACATAAAGGGCAAAGAGGTGGGGACACACCAAATAAGACGAGATTCCAATTTCTGGTTTCTTGGTGACTGAAGATGAGTTGCAAACTATTCCTTGCTATTGATCACTTTCAGATTTTGTGTCATGAGTGCTGGGAAACCTGGTCTTAAACAGACCCAGGAGGGGTTGCGTAAGATTTCAGCAGGCATACTGACTTAGCCGATTGGCTCGTTTGCACATACTCAAAGCTTTACAAGATTTTCCTTAATATCTTAAAACCACCACTACTTGCATATACCTTAGAAAGTCCTTAAGTACCCCAGATTGAATACTACTGGTCTAGTGGATATTTCAAAAGTGGAGTAGAAACAGAGCACTCTGTGTAGTGCAGATCATATCCAATTATAGCAATCGAGATTCACAGAGGAGGTAGCATTTGAGTCAGACCTAGAGGAGAGCTGGCAAAAGTTGCCCTTGCACTGGTTTCTCTTCATTAAGCAGAAGCATCTTTATATAAGTAAACCATAATTCTGTTTCTAAGTCTGAAAGCAACCCCTTTGTTGATAATGATATGAGCCATACATATGTTTTAGAAATACATTTTTGTAGAATCAATACATATATATGTTGCATAGACTCATAGCACTTTGAAGTTAGAAGGGTCTTAGAGACCATGTGGGTAAGTACTTCACAGACTTCTGCAGTGGCCCACACGGTTCATTGCAGAATGGAGTTCTGGGCCTACTGGATAAATCTAGAGGTAGAGTTGGCTAGTAGAGTTAAATCTTGAAGGATTCCTACCTCAACCAGGGACTGAAATTATATGAATGTTAGACTGTTATTATCTCATAGGTCAGAGAGACTGTCCATTTTTTCAATCTTTTTTCCTCTGTGCCTCTGTTTGGATGATTTATATGGATCTGTTTTCAAGTTTACTGACTCTTTCTTCTGCAATGTCCGATATCCTATTTAGAGATTCAGTAAATGTTTTCATTTTTGATATTGTATTTTTCAATTCTAGAATTTCTATCTGGTTTCTTTCTATAATTTCCATGTTCTTTGTTGATATATACTTTATCTTTTCACTCATTATGTTCATTTTTCTCTTTTAAATTTTTGAAAATATTTGTAATAGCTGTTTTAAGTCCTTATCTGCTAATTCATCATCTTTTTCACCTTGGGATCTGTTTCTATTAAATTCTTTTTCTCTAGATTATAGTCTACATTTTCCTACTTCTTCACATGTCTAATAATTATTATTTGTTTGCTGAACATTGTAGATGATACTTTGTGGGAATCTAGATTGTGTTTTCCTTTAAAGGGTGTTTAGTTTTGTTCTGGCAGGCAGTTAAATTGTTGCTGAAGAATCTTGATCCTATCAGATGTTTGTTTTATGCTTTGCTAGAGCAAGTCTCGATCCACTCTGTTCTTACTCTTGAGCATGAAAATGACAATAGTGTATTCTTGCTATACCAAGTGTGCTTTAGTCTCTGCTAATGACTTTCTTGTTTCCTGTTTAGCCACTGATATGTGTAGCTGGTCCTACAAAGAAGACCATATTCCTGCAGAACACAAAACCCCTTGAAAAGGAGTCCTTGAAGCAGGAAGGCCTGCCAGGTACTTCCAGTGTGACTCCAGCAATGCCTCAGCAGATTCCTTCTGACTCATCTGGCCAGACCGACTAGAATGTTGAAACTGCACAAGAAATAAATTACTAGGCTTTTCGGCATGAAGTGCTCCTAAAACATCTTGGTTCCAAATCTCCTTCTTAGGTTATAAGAAGGTAGATAATTTTAACGATGCTTTTCTCAAAGCTGCAAGCTGAGAAAATGGCCATCTAGAAGAGCTTGTACCTAAAGATGCTAACTATCTGGATTAAATTAAGATTTGAGGGGCTGTGGAAGGAGGTGTCTACAGGGAGTCCCCTGCCCAAGTACTGTTCTGATAGCCATGAAAACACCTTATTTATGTGAGGATTCGAACTAGTTATCAGATCAAATAAACTCATAATATAAGGATTTAAAATAACCAAACTGATGAGCTGTTTTCCTTTTGTGCTATCATTTTTTTTTTTTTTTTTTTTGGCAACTGGTGAAAATAAAGCTCTCTCAAGGTTTCATGTCTTGCCCTGGCTGGTTTGACTCAGCAGTTAGAGCATCAGCCTGTGGTCCACAGAGACCCGGGTTTAGTTCCCGCTAAGGGCATGTACCTCGGCTGCAGTTTGTCCCCGGCCCTGGTTAGGTCGTGTGGGTGGCGGCCACTCGATGTGTCCCTTTCACGTTGATGTTTCTTTCTCTTCCTCTCTCTCTCTCCCACTCTATCTGAATAAAAAATGGAAAAATGTCCTCGGGTGAAGATAAAAAAAAAAAAGGGTTCATGTCGTTACTTTACTAAAGGCCCCTCAGAATGTAGCACATGTCTTAGAGTGTACCTGTTGTCAGTGTGTCAGTAAAACTCGAAGGTTTGAACATTTAGAAAATTATTTTCTCAACCATCTGCGTGCCCCGGCCTTCCACCAACTGGTGCAGCGCTGCCAGAAGGCACACACGCAGTACATGCACCACCGCTTGATTCGCCTGACCCCTGCCGACCACGACTTTGTGAATGCGAGCTACAGTGCCCGCAGCGCCTGCTGCCTGACACCCATGGCACGGGGCAGTTCAGCGACATCCTGCAGAGCCTCAGGCGCAGCAGACCAAGGAGCTATGGCAGCAGGTTTCACTGGAGATGACCACCTTCTCTCCCTGAGTTTAGCCACCCTAGGGCCCTATACAGGGACGCAAGCCTGTGGTTATGGGGGCTCCTCACACAGGGGGAGTGAGTCTTGGCTGGACAGATCATCCCCACCCAGTTCCCTAGTAGCCCAGACTGGCAGCTGCTCTTGGGCTATAGCTTGGGGCCAAAATGTCTAAGACCCTAGAAGCCTAGGGTTGGGGGAAACAGCCCTGTCTGGGAGGAGGTGCTGGGGGGCCTCTGGTATTTATTTGGCATTTATAAATATATAAATTTTTTTACTCTAAAAAAAATTATTTTCTATCTGTATTCACTCAACTATCATCTATATGTTGATGACTTCAGATTTATACCTTCAATCAGATTTTCTTGAACTTGACTGCCTGTTTGACATCCAAGTGGATGACCCATGGACATCTCAAAACAAACCTTGTCCCGCTGGAAGCCCTGCTATTCTCCCTGAGCCAGCATCTCTCCCTTCTGTTTGCTCGGGTCAAAATTCTTGGGTTTATTTTTTACTCTACACTTACTTGAGTCACCCTACATCTGGTCTGTTGGCTTTTCATTTAAAAGAAAACCAGAACTCACCCACTTGAATGCCCAAGCTACAATTATCATTTGCCTAGATTATCACAACGGCCTGTTAACTGGTCTTCCTTCTCCTGCCTTGACCTTCTCCAGTCTAACCTCGTCACTGAAGCCAGGACGATCTCAGGGGAACAAGTCAGATCACATCAAATGAGCGAGTGGCTTCCCATCTCAGTCACAGAAACATCCAAGGCCTTTCCTGCGACCTGTCCGAGTCTGTAAGATCTGCTTCCCCATCACTTTCACTCTCCGTGTTGTTTTCCACTTTAAATACACTAACCAGGCATGGTCCCGCCTCGAAACTTGCTTTCCTCTTTCCCTTCTCTGCTTTGGATTCTCCAATCTACCTACACCCCTCCATTTCTGCAGATTCTCCCTTCCTTCGGGTCTTTCTCAAAAGTCACCTTTTTAAATTTATTTTTGTATTTATTATTTATAAAACTTAGCATAATGCAGCACATTGGCTATAACCATCCATTTTGGACAGGGTGAAATTAAATGTGTCTCTCCAATGTGCCATACTTTTGTAAATGGGAAAGATTTTCCTCAGCCACTACATAAAAGGAAATATGGTCCCAATAGTTCTGAAATTTCTAAGGCCAATAAAGGAGCTCTTCTTTGAACCCTTAGCAGGATTTGTACACTCACTCTAGATATATATATAGAGATATATATAGATATATATATATATATTATATATATAGAGAGAGAGACAGATATATAATATATATAATGTATATAATATATAGAGACAGATATAGATATATAGATATACATATACCCATCTTATCTGTACTAGATAGATGATAGATAGATAGATGATAGATAGATAGATAGATAGATAGATAGATAGATAGATAGATAGATGGATAGATAGATAGATGGATAGATAGATAGATAGATAGATGGATAGATAGATAGATAGATAGATAGATAGATAGATAGATAGATAGATAGATGGATAGATAGATAGATGGATAGATAGATAGATGGATAGATAGATAGATGGATAGATAGATGGATAGATAGATAGATAGATAGATAGATAGATAGATAGATAGATGATAGATAGATAGATAGATGGATAGATAGATGGATAGATAGATAGATATACTATCTATGCTTCCTATATACTATGTACATCCTATCTGAACTTCCACACACATTTGATACCCTCTTCCCTGTTGGTCTTTTTTAGTAGTATGTGAGCTCCATGAAGACAGAATTTTTATCTGTTTATTTTTGTATCCCCAGCATCTAAAACAGTGCCAGCACACAAGAGGTACCTAATAAATAAATATCTGTCAAATATGAATGAGTTGAATTTACCAAGAGCTGGAAACTCCTAGCAAATATGAAAAGGACAAGCTGGCCATTTTTGATTGGCGTAAGAATTAGTTTGCAATTCCAGACCCCTGACCCGTTTCTCTAGCCTAGGATTGGCTACATAAAATGTGGGCCTAGTGCAAAATGAAAATGTGGGCTTCCTTGTTCAAAAATTATTGCATCTTTCATTATGATAACAGCAGAGCATTAAACCAAGTGTGCTACCCTTCCAAATGCAGGCCGTGTGCAGCTGCACAAGTCACACACTCATGAAGCCAACTTCACTCCAGCCAGAGCTGCCATCCACAAGGAGTATCTCTAATGGGCCTTAGGATGGACAGCTCAAAGACATCAAAGGTCACATGACTGCCTTCTGAAGGATAGGTGAGATCTCTGTTCTTTTCCAACACACACACACACACACCCCAATCCGAGCCTGCTGCAGGGCTCCTCATGTGCCAAATGCCCACTGCTACTGTGTGTCCTCTCTGTCTCATGGGTGTGGATGGCTAAGCCAGGTCAGACACAGAAATGGGCTCCAGAGAGTGAAAGGGTCTCAACTACCATTCATGGATATTATGGTCTGAACAGGCTGCAATAGACTAGCCTGGTAACCTAAGACCATTTAGAACAGTGTTTCTATGGACAATGCCTTCTTTTTTGTTTTTCTTTTTATCCTCACCCGAGGACATTTTTTCATTTTTTGTTCAGATAGAGTGGGAGGAAGAGAGAGGAAGAGAGAGAAACATAGACGTGAAAGGGACACATCAAGTGGCTGCCACCTTTACGACCCAACAAGGGCAGCGACAAACTGTAACCGAGATATGTGCCCTTAGCGGGAACCAAATCTGGGTCTCTCTGAACCACAGGCTGATGCTCTAACCACTGAGCAACTGGCCAGGGCAGACAATGCCTTCTTGGTGCAGGACAAGAGAGAAGCATGTTATAAACAAAAATTCATTTTATTTTTTTTAAATCCTCACCGGAGGATATTCTTCTATCTGTCCTCAGATAGAGTGGGAGGGAGCAAGGGGGAGAGAGAGAGAGAGAACCATTTATGTGAGAGGGACACATTGACCAGTTGCCTCTCGCACAACCCAACCAGGGCTGGGGACGGACCATAACTGAGGTACGTGCCCTTGACCAGACTCGAACCTGCGACTTCTTGGTCCGTGGGCCCATGCTCTAACCACTTAGCAAACCAGTCAGGAAATAATTTATTTTAATGTTGAGGATTGTTTGTCTAGATGCCAGAGATTCTGCATTTAACAACTATACCATCCTGTCTCATGAAAAAGAATTTAAAAGTAAACCCAAGAAGTTGGTCACGAAACAGAATGAAGAGGGTGGAGGTGGAGAAAATCCAAGATGGCCACTAGGTTTCTAGTTTGAATCACATGAATGGAAGGTGGTGGCCTTTCCTATAACAAATACACAGAAGGAAGAGCAGGTGTGGGCATGTCAAATATGTAGTGCCTGCGCGACTGACAGGCAGGTTGATGCCACCAGAGAGGGTAGCCTTGAGCCCCAAGGAAGTTGAAAGAGCCCAGCCCAGCCTTAGCTTTACTGCAAGATGCCAACGAATGAGTAAAATTTGTTGTATATCATCTGAAGGGGCTTCGGAAGGTTTAAATTTCAACTCAGAAAATGGTAAGATGTTCATTTCTGAGTTTATTTTACATATCTGACCTCCTGTGGGAGATACTCTTGGACATTAGAAGATACTAATGCTTGGCTTACAAGGGCATCGTTTTGTTTTTCTTCTATTCAAGGAACAAATTTAGCTTCGTAGCTATGGTTTTTTTTGTTTGTTTATTTGTTTCATTTTGTGTTCATCGTCAGATAGAACGAGAGGAAGAGAGAGAGAAACATCAACATGAGAGAGACACATCAATGGGTTGCCACCCACCCAACCCCAACTGGGGCCAGGGGAGAACCATAACTAAGGTACATGCCCTTAGCAGGAACCGAACCCAGGCCTCTCTGGACCACGGGCCAATGCTCTATCTGCTGAGCCAAACTGGCCAGGGCTTTGTAGCTATGTTTTAAAACTAATATGAAAATGGTCTCTCTTCCACTCTTTCCAGATGATCCTGCATGAGCTGAATTGGCTGGTGCATCAGCCGTGTCAAGGAGTTCTTTTATGGGACAGAAACCAGCTGATTCAGTGGCATCTGAGGTAGAGAGCATAGAGGGTGGGCAGGGAAACCTTGTTCTCAAGGAGCCGATGAGTGATGGGGGAAAACCAACTGAGGGTCAGCAAGGTAAAATCATCTTAATTTTGTGTTGTGATATTTAGCAAAACATAAAAGAAAATGCCTAAATCATTTATAGTAGTGATTGAAAACATAGGT